TCACTCTGCCTTCAACCCTGGCAGGAGGGAACCTCCAAGTTTGCCACGCTGGAAATGAACCCAAGGAGAGCCCAGAGGAGGCAGAAGGAGACAGTGAGTGACCTGGAGGTTGGGAGAGGAAGGATTCCCTTGGCCCTTACCTTCCATGGCAAGGTGACCAGCTACATCTTGGGGGACAAGTACAAACTATACCATCAGTCAGGGCCCAGCAGCTCTCTGTGGGAGGGTATGGGCAGGGGCCATATGTTGATGATCCGCTCTCCTGGGATGGGAGTCGGGGGAAGGGGACCTGGGAGAGGGGGTCAAAGGTTCTTAGGCTGCTCCAAGTGGAAGGCCCTGGTGGGTCTGGTGAGTAGGGGAGATGGGCGCTGAGCCTTACTTATTTCCCACCTGATGCTTCAGGGTGTCATCCAGGGCACGGTCCCTTACCTGGGCACATTCCTCACTGACCTGGTGATGCTGGACACTGCCATGAAGGACTATCTGTATGTGAGTGAACCTGGGGCTGAGGTGGGGTGGGGTGGGGCTGAGGCCTAGGAGAACAAAGCCCCCTCCTGATCCCTGAGCTCTGGTTCTCAAAAGAACTTGAAGTTTGCCTTCCTGGTGACCCCCCACCCCTACCCCAGAGCTGTCTGACAGCAGAGCTGAGGAGTGGGTTGGCCAGACTAGACATGCGTGACCCTCAGATGGTGGCTCTGAGCAAGAAAGTGAAGCTCCGCACTCCAAGGTCAGACAGCATATGGGCCAAGCAGGGCCTTCTAATTCACAGTAGGTTGGACAGAAATGTCTATAAACCTGCTCTCAGGTTTCTCTACAATCGTGCCTAGGGCCAGGTGCAGGTGCTCCCTGCCCCCTAGTGGGTGCCTGTAGTAGTGCAGAGCAAAGTAGTAGGCAGGACTTTAATAGTGGAGGGGGCTGCTTTCTTATGGATGTTGGCTGTCTGTCTTCTAGGGGAGACTCATCAACTTCGAAAAGAGAAGGAAGGTGAGGAGCTGCCACCCTCAAGGTTTTGGGGGGGG